CCCCGGGGGGGCCCCCCCCCCCCCCCCCCCCCCCCCACGGTTCTCTCGCTCTCTTCTCTTCCTCTCTGTTGAATCGCGGGCTGTCGCGTCTCGTCTTCATGCAAATCGCGCGAAGGTCCTGGTCCTTGAATTTTTTTTTCTCGGCGACAGGATGTAATGCCAATTGGAAGGAATTGTTCATGGGAATAAACTGGGATGTGTTCTCGTTGGATTCGTTAGGCCGGATGGCGTTAAAAATGTTAATTCCACCATTATTTTCACAAATCGCGTTTATTCTCGTTCATCTTGATCCTCAAAGATCAAGTCCGTCATTTAAAGTATTTCTGGTACCTGATGCAGAATCCTCTCCAAACGCTCCCAGATTGAAGAATGTACCCCCTGCACACGGGTCTCAAGCTTATAGGCTTTTCCGGAAGAGCCCCACAGAACTGATTTCGCCTTTTCTCTGTCATTCTGCCGACGTCGATGGCATTTAGGCAGTCGTTGTAGGTGACTCCAGTGATCAGTTCCAAGGTCAAAAGCAGCGCAAAGACTGGTATTAGTACCTGAGCGGGTGACTGGGTTCTCATGATCTGGGAACAGGGTAAATATAATAATTCATTAAATTTATTGATGCGGCGGTAGGCTAAAAATTATGAGAGGAAACTTGAAATTTATTTCAGACTGGTTTCCAATAGGAGTGAAAATGAGGGAGGAACCCTATGGGTCGAAAAGCCGACGATCTGCGATTTATGAGATGACCTCTCTCGTCTCCACATTAGTGTAAATCTCAATAAATAATCGTAATAAATATTGATAAATAAATGTAAATTATTCGTATTTTTTCGTTACTGTTCTTCACCCTTCGATGAGAGCGAAGTTACGTTATTGCTTCTTCCTCCCCACGTCAGAGTTGCAACATCTAAATACTTCTGAAGGGTCTAGATCAGGGTGCAGAACTCAAAAGACTGAGAGCAACTTACGACTTTGACTCACGTACCGCCGGTTGCAGTCTGGCTGACCGTAGCTGTAGCCAACAGGACAGGAGCACATAGCATTTGCAACGGGCTGCAAGCAAGGACTTCCCGGCCCGTATGTTGTGCACCCCTGGCCTCGATTCTCGATCTCCAACAAGAGCAAGCAAAAACGGAGGTTTGAGAGGGAAAGAGAACTTACTTGAGTCGAAGAATGGATGAAGGTCAGTGTCAGAAGCCCTCCTAGGCGCGGTGCTGTGATGGGTGAAAAGGGTTAGGCCAGGGCAGGGTCAATTTTTCGCACGCGAGCCTGAGATCTGGCATCGCTAATAGCATCGTTAATGGCATCGCTAACAACATCGTTAAGGCCACTAATGGTTTTCTGGTTTCGAAGCGTGTGCAGCTGAAGGTGTGCAGAGGCCACTTCTGACTCCACGGGAGCGAAAGTATTGCGTCTCTCCAGGCTCAACGCTCACGTTTCAGGTGAAACGCTTCTCTCCCCGGCTCCATTCGCCATCGCTATTCATCCAGGACTGATGCGGGACTGAGGACTTGGTGTCGTGCGTGGTCAGCTCTCTTCAGCTGACGACGAATGGCAACGAAAAAAGACGCGAGTCCATGTTCATCGCAATCGGCTGATATTCCATCGAGCGGGTGTCTTTTGTCAGAACAGGGGCGAGATTCATTCAAGAAGTAAAAATCCAAGCATTCATCAGTGAAGATGAATGCACTTTAAGGGCAGGTGGTGCGACTGCCTCCTGTTCACCATTCCACCTCGGCTAAAAAGTTAAAGTCCTCCAATTCTGTGGAGTTTAGTGGAAACGAATGGGATCGGTGGCACAGTCGTGGAGTGCATTGCATTGTAATTATTACTCATTGCACTCGGCTGGGGATTAGTCCCCACGTAGCAATGGATCGGATCATCCGAACGCTGGTTATCCGCTCCGGAGTATGGTGATCCACTGGACATCTGCATGAATTGTCCAGCGGATATCCTCCCGCAACGACATCTATTGGATGCATTCTCTAAATTTTCGTGATGCAAAATTTGCGTGCTCGAGAATATTCTACTTCTTAGTACTTCATAACTACCTTTCCGACTTTTTATTTATTTAATTAACTTGTGCATCTTCAGAGAAAATGGGAAACTTCTGTGACACCTTTGAGAGGTATTTGCAGGCTAGGATTCTTTCTGCAGCCTCAAATTGGAGATTAGACATATTGCAGCAATACAGGTAGGGTGCTACCAAGCACCAGAGAATCCAACATCGGAATTTCAAAATTATTACACCTTCAAAAGTTCAATAGGATGATGAAATAAAATAATGGAGGGACAAAAGACACAACACCAGGGACACAGGAAAACCGTCTCACAGACAAATCTCGACTTGATCCCCGCCTCACCCCACAAGCAGCTCCTCTCTCCTCGCCCTTGCTCCGTTCTCCCTCGACTTCCCTTTTCTTCCCCTGGTCTTCCCAGATGGAGCCGATAAGGTTTTCCGTTCCAGGTTATTAATCAGGGCGTCTCGCCCTTGGACAGTATCGGTCATGAAGGGGTTTGTTTGGTGGTCATGATATCCGTTCCCAGAGAAGGGATGCTTTTATCTCTTTATTACATCCTCCGTCTTGTATGGTGTCGCGGAATAACATCGAAAAGAATAGCATCGACACCGGCGAAAGACGGAATGACTTCGATAGGAACAACGTCGACACGGAAGTATCTCGACGTGAGAAAATCCTGTCGAGATAATTCCGTGTCGGCGCTGTTACTTTCGATGTTGTTCCGTGTCGGTATGAATCCGAAAGTTATCTGTCGAAGCAGATCTGTTTCGGTCTATTTCTGTCGACGTATTTCCGTGTCGGGATGCCATACTACACCGTATCCTTTTAAGAAATGTGCGGAGTTGAATTCGTTTTTTTCTGAAACTTCGGCGTGAAATTAAATCATATGGCA